TTAAATGTTTAATAGTAAAATGTACTAATATAGTAAATATAATGTATAGTAAATAAATGTCTAAATTTCTAATAAAGGAAAAATGTTTAAGTGTTAACTGTAACCCTACTTTTGGCCCACCCTGTATATTAGTGGTGGCTTACTTCCAAATAATGCATAATTCAATTAAGTAATATTAGAAGCAGTAAAATGAAAAGTTTGTCTTTCATGCTAACCTTTAATTTTGTAAGTCCTTAAAATATTCAAATTTAGTGAAAATCAAAACACTAAACAGTCAATTCAAACATTAGAATTTCCACTCATGTGAAACAGCCAGTTGCTTTGGCCAGATTCAAATTCATCAGCTTAAGACATTTTCCTGCATTACGATCTAAAAGTGATAAACACAAGCTCTATATTGAACAAAATCCCTGATGAGTAAAACATAAGATCACAAACTTTTAAACATGATGCATAGTACAAATTTCTTAATGCAATTTGATAGTTTTGTAATACAGTCAGACTGACATTAAACAGACTACTCTTGTTAAACCATTGCAGCAAAAGTTTGTGCATTTTTATAAAAATGTTCTGGAGTATTTGGTCAATTATTTTACAATCCATTCTACATTCCAGTCAAATTCGCTAACATTAAAATACATTGAAATATTTTGATAAACTATTGTTAGCTTAGATTTAATAATCAACTTGAAATCTGTTTTCAGTAACATACTGCTGGAAAGTATATATTGGCAGTATCCATTGCATAATGAAAGATACCATAACAGTTCATTTATTTACTACTTCTATTGCAAACAAATGGGTACTATTGTACCCATATTTCAACTATAAGTAGCACTTAATTAACTTGTCTTCATACAAGTCAGTGTCGACAATTAATTTGATCATACTCTAACAAAACCAGTTAACCAAAATCCCATTAGTTGTTTTATGTGATTACTACAATATTTCAGAATGGTAGAAAAAACATACTTTTGGTTAACACAGTTGTTTCTCCAGAAAAGTTTCATGATATAGGAAATGAAATAGTGATTTTTATAGTTCTAACAGCTGGTTATAACCTGTTAATTTGGTTTATACTCAGTGTTTATCTCATACGTCCTAAAGCGGCTACTATCCACAGTCAATAAAAAATAAAGTACAAGATATGGTACTTGTGATACTGAGTTAATTTTTCTTTAACTTAAACTATTATAGATTGTTTCATTCACAATCTCTAATAATGTATGTAATATAAAACAGTACATTTTACACAAACCTGAATGCATTACTCCAAAAATGCGCACAACAGGAACTTTTTTGACATCACAGCCACGAAATTCAGAAAACATGGCATCAAGCCCTTTTCTTGGGAAGGTTTGGTAATGATCCACAGTAACAATACGAAGAGAAAACATTTTTTGTAATATCCCAAATAAAGGTTACTTAGCTGTAACAAAACATTAAATATAAATTAAGAAATGTAAAGAACATTTACACTTGAAACCCCCCACACAAAAAAATGCACCTTATATATATACACAATTTTTAAAATCCTCATTCTATTTACTTTCCAAGAAAAAAAAAAACACCACAGTTCATTACACAAGTTAATAATCTATCAGATGATGCAAGATAAACCTGGCAACAAACTGAATCTTAATTATTTATAATGTTATATTTTAGCCCCTAATTTACATTTTAAGCATCCAATGGCATGTTTTTGACCTGATAAAATAAATGCAATGAAAATATTTTATATATGTAAATTGCAATATAAAAATTTTATTATAACCATTATAAGATCACTTTTAATTTTTAGCACTTTTAAAAAAAAAGGCTATTACTTTAAACATACATTGCATGCTGACATTTATGTTATCTTTACATAGTGAACTTTAATAAAATAATTCCTTGTAATTAATTTAAACATCATGTAAGTCTTTAATATAAACTCATAAATTGTTTTTTAATTATAAGATATATGTTATATACAAAACCATGAAAAACAACAAAGAATGAGCTTTTTTTTTTACAATTTGAGATGTGAAAAAGCCAAACATTTATATTTGGCTTCTGAGCTACACCACAAAATTGGAATCAACTTTTGCTTGTCATCATCTCTACTGTACTATGGTTATGATTTGCATTGTTATTATACTTGAGATATGTCAAGCATGTTTGAGGTATTCCCAGGTCTTATTTGAGTGTGATATATTATACAAATGTAGAGTCATATAATGGTGGCAGCAACATATTATTATGGGCAGTAAAGGCACTCAAAGCCTAAATAGTTCAATAAGGGCTATTACTGCTTTCTCTATGGTTTTGGAAATATCAATAAGAACAAGCTTAATGCAGTTCAAAGTGGGACACTCCAGAACTCATAAATATGCACACAACCTGTAGCAGTTTTTTCTTTTTAGCTGGATAAATACGGATATTATATAATATAGAAGAGCTCAGTTTATGATACTTACATATCTCATAAGTATCAATATTTTACACTATTAGTCCCCATAATAATTCCTCTATGGAACCCCACATGCCCAATTTCATTGTAAATATTTTTTTAAACAATTTTATCTTTTTCCAAATGAAAGAGACATCTGTAGCCAAGTTTCATGAGTAACTTTCGGACATTTATTCAATATGACCATCTTACAAGGATCATCCATTACTCATGACTATTCCTGGAGCCCAAAAGGTAATTTCCAAATTAAGAAAACTTGCAGAAGTCCATATAAAACTCAATCTACGTGTAATACACAATGCCTAAGTATACTTATTGCCTTTATCTAGTTCTATAATTACTAAGTATTTTTACCAAAACTAACAACAGTTTTATCTTTGTTTTTGAGGTTTACTTCGAAAATTGTAATTATGTGAAGATAATAAATCCAAGCTATTAATATAAGTTCTCACAGTAGTACATATTTCAGAAGTACTAGAAGATACTGGAAAATCATTTAATAACCTCAGTTAAGAGGACAAGGAATCAGATTTGGTTCCAACTATAATTCTTTTAGAGAACTACTAACCATCAAAAATTAAACCTTTTTTCAACATCATTAATTTGATACAAAAAAAAATTGAGATATTGTTATGAGATGTCTTTAGAAAAGTTTTTTTTTTTTTGAGAAAGTCCAAATTCAATTGATTTGATCAAATGTCTAGCTTTAAACTGGGAAATGAAAATTCTAATCCATTTTCTTTAAATATATAAAATCAAACTTACAAGATGAATCTGCAAAGCAATCAGCAAACCAATTAGTTGTTCTGGATAATTTAAATTTATAACTGATCTTAGCTTTTAAAACATTTACAGCACTTGTACATTTTAGTAGGATTTATAATAATAAATTCTATATGAAGAAGCTTTACAACTTCTGATTAACTTGAAATAATCTGTACTGATGTTGAAAAATCTTCATTTAGAAGAATTTTCAATCATAGGAATACGTTCAGAGTTTTTTAAAAATATAAACAGTGAAAATTAATTTTAATAGTTTAGTTCCTGCAATTTTCAAAGCTAATTTGATGAAAGTTTGATATATTGTGATTACAAGATTATTAAACATTTCATTAAAAATATTACATTAAGAAAACTAAAATCATAGATTTTTTATGAAACATTTTGATTTTTGAAGTAAAATTGAATTAATTGTTACAAACTTACATGTGCACATGAATATTACATTCAAGAAAAAAAAACAATAAATGGTTTGTTTTTGACAGGTTGACCTATCTCCATTCCATCTTTGTCCTGAATTTATTCACATATCAAAAGAACTATGATTTATCACTTTTCTGAATATGTTTTAGCAATGTTTTTGATACTGTTTTTTTACTATCATGAATATATCTATGTTGCTGATTGTTTGAATTTGCCAGGAAATTTTTATTTACTTAGTATATATCTTAGCCTGTCCTTGTATGACAACCTTTCCATCCCATGTATAATCCTAGTAGCCTTCCTCTGAAACCTTTCCAACAATTTAATGTCCACCCAAAAGTAAATACAGTATTCGAAATGTGGCCTCATCAGTGACCTATAAATACAACCTAAGATCCTATTTACCCTACCACTAGCAACAGCCCACTGCTTGGATGGCTTTAGAAACTGATCAACTATTGTATCAAGATCCCTTTCCTTTGTAACACTATTAAGGTTATTCCCATCCAAATTATACTTATAATTCAAATCATGATAACCCACATGCATTTCCTTGCATTTATAGTTGAATTTATAATTAAAAGCTATTTGTCATTTATTTACCCAACTCACTAAATGATCTAAATCCTTTTGTAAAACATCCTCTTCACAGCCAGCAACACCCGAAACCTTAATATCATCAGCAAATTTATTGATCATTCTTTCATCTACACCATTTGTAAGTCAAAAGGAATAAAATTTTTAACACTGAGCACTGAAATACACCACTCATAACATTAATCCAGTTTGACTGAACTCCATTTATAACAACCCTCTGCTTTCTGCCATCCAAACAGTTTTCTATTCAATGAACCAGTCTATCCTCCATACCTAAAGAGATAATTTTTTTCAACAAACATTTTATGTGGCACCTTGTCAAATGTTTTCTAAAAATCCAGATACACTAAATTCACATCCATACCCTCATCCATATAAGCAGTGACCTCTTCAAAGAATGTCAAAAAATTAATAAGCTTTTCCTATAGTGAAACCATAGTGACTATTCAACAGTTTTAAACTTTGTTAAACAACTTTGGAAAGCATCTTTTATGGGACTTTCAAAACTTTTTCCTACCAATGATGTAAAAAATAATAGGCCTATAATTACTGTGGCAATTTTTATCATTTCCCTTGAAGAGAGAAAAACATTAACCAACTTCCGACCTCCTTCCACCTGCCCATTATTCATGGATTTACAAAAAGTAGTAGCAAGTTGCTCACCTAACCAATCTTTAACCTCCTTCAACAGTTCAAGACTTTTAGGTAAATATTATCTGCCTCAGGAGCTTTATCATTCTTTAAATTTTCAAAGTTTTTCTTAACAAGTTCAGAATTAAGGTGATCACATTATTTCCATCTAGTATACAGGGCTTGGTCAGATAAATATCTGGTTGAAACACTATCTGTTACATCTCTAAGTGATATCCTGTGCCTACAACAGTGACTTCACTTTAAGTTAGTAGAAGCAAACATCCTAAATATAACATATAATAAATCATTTATTGGATATAGAAAAACGACTGTAAATATATATATATATATAACTGCTATTTTTAACCTGCTTACTCAGAACATGCTATGTTACTATGTCAATGCTGAAATATAATTCGAGAATGAGAAAAATCAGTCCAATTAAATAATAAACATTAAATTGATTAATCGAGATAGACCTAAACATGAGTGAATTAATTGCTGTTTGCACTATAGGAGCTATACGCTAGATTGTAATAAATTAAACAGATTACACGTAATGACGTTTATCATACGACGTATAGTTTGTTATTCTTGATCAATGTCAATGTATATGATTACTCAATTTAATGTAAACACGGGTCTAAAAGTAAAACTCAAGGGTATGATACAAGGCGTTAATTCTACGCTAGTCTTCTCTGAAATTATATTTCTTACTTAACATAAAAGTGAGGCAACTTCAAACCAGAGAAATATTAAAATGTAATATATATAAGATCACGACGATACTGATAGTTAGTAAGTTACTCACTTGCTTATAGACTGGTGATTCCAAGTTCATGTTGTGCGCCACATTCTAGCCAATGGATATTTTGCGAAATAATTAGTATTCCGCATAATATAACATCCCTTTTTCAAGCGATCTAAAGAAGAGATTGAATAATTAAACTAACGCCGTTTTCCTTAATAAGGATTATTCCAGAAGTATACATTTGTACATTGTCCCTCGTTGAGTTAGCGGTAAATTTACGAACTTACAATGCTAAAATCTGGGGTTCGATTCCCCGCAGTGGAAAAACGCAGATAGCATGTTCATTAGCTTTATGCTAACAAACAAACTAACCTATGTATATACCTGCTCTGGACAATATTTAAACAATAAATTGGTCTTGTTCAAGAAAAAGCGTTTTATAAATTAAAAGAAATCACTTCGCATCTATTAACAATATGAAATACGACGGAAATAGGTCGTACTGCCGTATACTACAATCATTTCAGCGATCTGCTTCGTTAATTCTCTTCTGCATGCTCCTCCAATACTTCATTTTTTAAAAGACATTTTCTAAATCCTTTCCAACACAAACATTTATCAAAATTCGACGTACTGCTACATCTGCTTAAACAACTTGTTCCTTAATGCCAGTCTGATGCATATATATTTAATACACTATCCATAAGCATCATATTTCTCAATTTACGGAATAAACCGTTTTTTAGTTTAAAAAGAGACTCATCTATGAATCTTTTAGGAATGCGAAATATTACGGAAGTTCAATTTGCCGAGATGGTTTATTCAAGTATAACTGAGTTAACCATTGAACAAAGGACAGGTCCGTTTAATAACAGGAGATTAGGTCAAGATCCCAATAAAAAAATGTAATGCTGAACCTCCGAATATCCGAGTCGCGATATTGAATGAAATAGAGAGAATGGACAAAAAGTGAAACATAAAGTGAACTTTTTTATTACAACAAACATAGCGTGTGTGTTTACTTTACTTTTATGGAAGAACGGATTGTCACTTTTACTGGCTCATTCTTCAGTTCAGTCCGACCATATGCAACCTTTTTTTAGTTCACACACAAAAAACGTCGCATTTACCCAAAGTGATTCGCGTTAACCACATTCCAACATAAGTGAGGTTATACCTCTAGGTTTACCTAAACAACCATTGAAGGACACTGCTGTCGAAATACTTGTACAACGTGCAATACTGGACTAATAATACATCTTCTCCAGGAAAAATGGGTAATATCCACTTGAGAATAGCAAAGGAACAAAGACAACTAAAACAAAACCAACTTGAAAGCTTTCTTGACCACGGCCCCTCAGTGGCTCAATGGTAGGTGTGAGAGCTCATACCACTAAAAACTGATTTACGATACTAGTAGTGGGCATAGCCCATTATGTAGCTTTGTGGTTAACAATAAACAAACAAAATTTGTGACCAATTACTACGTGTAACCTGGAAATGTACTGAATAAATTATACATTAAAAAAACTAAAATAATACAAGTATGTAGAAATGCATATTCATATTCTTTCAGGTTTTGGATAAGGCTGGGATTTTTTTAACAGTAAGTGTCTGTGACTTGTTAGCGATAAATTCGAACAATAAACGGACAGCATGCAGTCTACTTATTTTAAAATGATATATTCAAAACAAGTCAAACGTATGTATACCAGGGTTTTATATATGTTGGCTGGGAGTCTTCTACAGTAGGTGTCTATAACTACTTCAGCGTAGTTTGGGATGAACTTCTTGCATTATCCTTTTATCCCCAGGAAGGATCTTACTTGCTGCTTGGTCATTGGGGCTGATGCATCTTGTATGTGGTCTACTTTCTCTTTTTCAATGGCTGTCTGTTGGTCACCCACATTGTGTCCAACAAACTGCAGCACAGAATAGCCAAAGTAGCACTTACATGGTCTCATGATCAGACCTGCTGCCCACATTCATCTGAAAAGTTCTCTAAGTTTCTTCAGGTGGACTTTCCATTTGGTTGTGTGTGTCAGAATGTTGTTCACATCATGCTCGATGTTGGTGGTTTTGTGCAACATCCTCCTCATCATGCAGTTGAATGTTACTGCTGAGTTGACTAACCCAAATGGTATCCTCTTAAATTGGTAACATCCATCTGGTGTAACAGATGTTGCCTTCTCTTCAGATCCTGTCTCCATTCTGTTTCTTCTAGCAGCAGCATTCATGGTGACAGTCACTCTTTTCCTGTTTTTTACTAGTACCATTTTTTTATTAGCACCAGCTGCTTTATGTTGAGATTTTTGCCTGTTGGTGAGGGACTTGCCCTCCTGTTACGTCTCCGTTTGTTAATTGATTTTCCATAAATTCGTTCCGACGAAACTTTAGCGACACAAGTCCTTACTTAATAAAACTGGTTTATTCTTTCCGAATAGTCATCCATCAACCT